AGAAAATATGTATTTATAAATTTTGTTTTATCTTCTTCATCTTCCTTGATGGCTTTTGCATGCTAATGAACCGTTTCCTTATCATCATAATCATCATCAGCATCATCCTGGTGTATCTTTATTTTTGACAGAATTTAGTAGAAGAAAAAAAAGCGAAGTAGCAAGGAAAAAAGTTCTGAATGAAATCCATGAACCAGGAGCATTATCAGTTTAGCTTAAAGCTGAACATGAGTTAAAGATAAGATGATAGCAGAGAATAAAATCTCTGATGATGAAAATCATTCTCATGAACAAAATGTATCTTTCAGAGCTTGCGAACTAATACTCATCATCATTATCTCTCATCATCATCATCATCACCCTTTTGTATTCACTTTTTCCCTTCATCTTTTATCGTCTTCCTTTCGTGAAACCCTTTTTTCTGCCTGTTGTTTTCTCAATCCAAGTATCTAGAACTTTTTTTCTTCCTTGTCTGAAACTACATTTCTCTTGGAGCCTTTCTCCTTATTTATATCATCTTTTTTCATCATTATCTACAATCTTTAACCTTTTCTCTCTCCCTTGATTATCATCATGAAATAATCACAATCACAAAGCAACATCTCTATGAATATTGTTAATAGTATGTGTGTGTGTACATCTATGGGTGAGAATCACATAAAACGTTGATGTTCACCCTTAACTGTTGCTATTATTATCATAACATGAACATAATTGTAACTGTATTTCTGTTTTACCTGTTTCATGCGACTATTATTGCAGGTATTTCAATAAAGATGCAAATGATTATTAGATTCATTGTGATAAGTGAGCAAATGTTTGCTTTTTATTAATAGTCCCAATTAATGGAAACACGCAAAGAAAATTTTCCCATTCGTAATCTTCTTGATGCATCTTCCAAATTCACTTGCTAACTTACCTCAACTACAGTAGAAAACACCCTGAAAATATTGCTAATACAGAATTTTGTGTTTTCTGTCTAATATTTTCATCATTTTTGTTGACAAACAAGATGAAAACTTTTTTCCATTTACCTGTAACTTGCTATTTGATTACTATTTCTTCAGGGTTATCATTTATTATGGTGGAGATTTCCTTCCCTCTGATATTACTTAATTTAGCTTCATCAATGCTGAAAGTAAATTGTCTCATATACAGTGAAAAAAGAGGTTTCAATTTAAATGAAATTTATTCTGGTTTTAAATTGTATTTACACTTAAACACAAGATAAATACACCGAGTAAATTAAACCTTTTTTTCAAAAGGTTATATACTTTTCTTGATTCCTAAACATTGTTACAGTTTCCTCAGAGCTTCATGATTCTCTCTCTCTCTCTCTCTCTCTCTCTCTCTCTCTCTCACTCACTCACTCACTCACTCTTTCTGTATCTTTCCCTGAGAATCATAATGATGATTATCACAATCGAGAAATAATAAGTCTCATTATCATCCTTATCTTCCTCATTATACTTTCTCTTGCAAGGGAAGTAAAAAAACATTCTCATTGTTATATATCTAGTGTGTGTGTGTAATGAATGAATAAGATTCATTTTATCCAGAACTTTTTTTTCATTATTCCATCTGAAACTAATTCATTTGATTAGAACTGCTTTTTTTACATCAACATCTCCCTAGAATCAAATTATCATGTCATGTCATTAATTCATTATCATTATTGTTAAGGTTTGATGAGAGAAAAATTTTTCCAAAAGAAAAGGCAATTGAAAACATGATCATTTGAATTAAATTTGATTGTTTGGTATAAATGATAACAAATTGAGTTGAATTTATTAAGTTATCACCAAATTAATCATAATGTTGATAATTTTGATTGAGTGGTAAACAAAAAATAATAATAACCAACTTTACTATGATTGATAGATCGTAAATTGTATATAATTCAATATTCATCCATGTTATTTACCACCCACTTACCTCTCCCACTTCACTCTGAGTGTCGTAATGAGTTTCAACATCCCCATGATGATGGAGATGAAGGAGCGAAAAATTGAAACAGAAAATGAATATTTCCTTTCATGATAGATATCTAGTTATCAATGGTTAATCAAATTAGTCTACTATTTTTATCACAATTTAGTTGAATTACTGTTAATAAAATCATAAATCTTTAGATAAGTTATATTAATATCCATTGATTTGGATGATTGTTTGATTAGGCCTGGATTTTCAGTAAATAAACCAAAGGAGGAGATGAATTTTTTATTTGCTAATTGTCAACCCTTATCATTGACTAGAAATCACCCTGATTTCTGATGAAATTGAATCAAGTAGAAAGAAATACAAGACGAAAATGGAATTTTTTGAGACTTTGTATATTTCTATTGGGAATTTCCGTGTCTATGAATGAGAATGAACTTTTTTTCTGGGAATTTGATCGATTGGACTTGAGAGCTGAAAATAAACAAAAAATAGATGCTAAAGTGAAAATCAGTAAATTATTGATTTAAACTTTTAAATTATTAGGTTTTTCTTTCTGGTTGACTCTAAATTATTCAATTTTCAATTCTCATTTAAAATGATAACTTTGATTCAAAGTCATGGTAATTCAAAGATTAAAATAAAATGATTAACATTTAATGGGAATCGATAAATTTCCCTCATGATATTCATGTCTCAGTTCCTCTCAGCATGATGATAATGATTCTCAGATTCACTTTAAGATAATCCAATGATTACTTTAATGTAAGCATTTGATTGTAATTGTTACGAAAGTTAATTTCATGACGAATAAGCTTCACAAAGCTCTCATGGTGTATTTATCAACAAAGGCAATTGATTCAGGACCTGAAGGTGTTTTTGCCTTTAGAACCAACAACTTTTACTAATCTTAAACCATGGATTAGGCTCCGAGGTTTGAATTAACTGTTCAATATGTCTAATGGACACCTTATATACATCTTTTTCTATTCCTTAATATCTTTTCATGAAATAAAATTAGCAGAAAATCAAATTAATATTAAAGTCTAAACTGAGACCGTAACTCTCTGCATGCAGAGGAAAAAGATAAAGAAAGTAAGTGTCTGAATCTAAATACCCTAAGGTGAATTTGCATGTGAGTATAAAATTTGATGTTTTCTTATTCGTTTGTGATGAAAACAAGAAATAAATTCAATTGAAAATTTACCAGAAAGAAGGTTGAAAGATATGAGGATGAGGATGAGGATGGAAGACGATAAAAGGAAAACAAGGTAAAACTTTTGTAAATTTCATTTAGAAAACCTCAGCAGAAAAGGAAAACCACCATTTTCATGATATTAACAAGTGTCTGAAAAAATTTTCTCTCATCAGTAAATATTATCTTTGAAAGATGAATATTAAAAAGCTAGAGACTCCGGTTGAATCATTTAAGCCAACATATTGCATTATAACACATCCGGGAATTGATATAATATATTAATTCCCTGAATTATGAATAGTTAAAGTCATCATCATCATCATCTACATGATATTATTTCATTATATCAAAAAAGTCTATGTGATTTATAATCATAACTAATGATGGAGATGATGATGCTAAGGTTGATGAACATGTAAAAAATATCAAGAATTGATTACCAGCTTAAAACTATTATTATATTATCAAGGATACAAAAATAACCTCAGGTTATCTGAGTTATTTGAATTTTGAATTGGATGAAGAGGACGAAAGGAAAAAAGTTCCATACAGAGTAATCATCGTCATGATTTATTTACTACCCTGGTTTCTATGAATTGTCCAGGAAGTTAGATCATGTTGATGGAGACCATAAATTAGATAATGAGAATATCATTTCTCTCTCTCTTCAGAATTAGAAGTGAATCAAAATAAATGATAATAATTTCTGATGAATCCCAGTGATGATGAGGTCAACTTTGATTCCATGGTGGTGATAAGATTATGTGTATTGAACTGAACAAAATAATAAAAGGTTTTCATTTGGGAGTTGCAAAATTTATTCTCATGGAATTCATTTGGTTCATAAGATCAACTGTTACAATTCAGTTCAGTAAAAACGAAGAGAATGAGAAAAAAATAGAATCTAAAAAAATTCTGTTATCAATATTTTTCTAAAATTTATCAGCATTTCTCTTGAGGTTTTCCCCCTGATAATGATAATGATGATGATGGTAATCACGATAATAGCTGATGATGTAGAAATGATAATAAATGTATGAATACTTAATCGACTGGATCATTATTAAATACCATGTATTAATAACAGAAATGTTGAAATATCTTCCTCATCATCATCATGATGGGTGAGAGAAGAAAATTTTTATCAAAAACTACAAATGAAACCGTAGAAACTTTTCCATGATAAATTTTGTTTCTATTTTTGTTATCATTCACTTGAGTTCAATATTCAACAGGAAGTGGCAATGATTATATTGTCAAAAGAAGAAGAAAAAATTGAACAAAAAAAGGCTTAGAACTTGAGAATTGAGAAGCCAATGAATAACATGGAGAGATAATCAATCTGAACGATGATGTTGTAACTTCTCAATCTCTTTGAGTTGATATCTGTTGACAATATCATCTTTTATCATTGCTTATATTTATTCATTAACACACATTAAGCCATTTTTCATCTTCCTTGTCATTATCATCCTTTGACTCTTCTACCGTTTGTACATCATTAACGTGGGCAAAATAAAAGGATAAAAATAACACTAGTATTGCAAAAATAGCCTCAAGATGTAGACATAAGAATTGCTTATTAAAGATCCAAGTTATCAAATTAAATAATCAAGGTGTAAGTTATCATTACAATATCTCACATGATTTATATAATGTTCAGTCATTCAGAACCTGAATCCATGATGATTATAATTATCACCAAGGAAATGAAACGGAAAGTCTAATTGGTGCCCATTTGTTTGGACGTTGGACTTGCAAGTTGGATGACGATTTCATTGTCATACTGAAAGGAGTTGAGTGGGATAACATTCAGGGACTGAGAATATTTGAAATTTTCTTTAGAATTAACTTTTTATTTTACCTGTGAAAGGTTTTATCCTGAATTGGCACTCATTCTGTGGTTGAACATGAGTCATTGAATCTAATCCACATGAAAGTAGACCATAATCTTTGGACGAATTAACTTGATAACGAATGATTCTGTCTTTTGGAAATGATGATTTAAGTAAAGTGGGCGATGAAGAGGCTGAAGTGATTGTTGTTGTTGGTCTGATGGTTGAAGTTGGTGAATTTGAAGATGAAAATGATGATAAATTTGATGTTATCACTTTTGTTGATGATTTTTTTTTCCAATTTGTTTCAAACTTTTTGACATTAACCATGTTATTGTTGCTCTTGTTTTTGTTCATGGTGTTGGTTGTTGCTGCTGTTGTTGTTATTGTTGTTGTATTGTTATCATCAGTTAAATGGGATGATATAAATTTCCAGTAGAAAGTAACATTCACCACCCGTGGATCAATATTACAAGATATGTTAACAGTTTCACCTATTGGCACCTCGTAAATCACATCTGAATTTGATTCAGAACAGGTTGGTCCATCTAAAATGGCTGATGGTCAAGAATGATTTTGTTGTTTTTCATCAAGATGATGAAAATGAAAATGGATAAAAAACAAAATGATTACATGAGAAAATAAATAAATGGAAACTATATAATCATCATCATTATCATCATCATGTTGGTTATACACAATCACGAAAAATTCAGTTGAAATAAATTGCTCAGTAGTAAAATATATATTTCTTATTGAATGAAGAAGAGTTTTTTTCTTGTTTTCTCCATCTTTTAATTCAACTTTTTGAACTTTTTATCCGAGAAAATAAAGATAAACATGAAAATTCAAGGAGATAAAAGTTCATGGCTTTATGGTTTTCAGTCGCTTATTTTTTTCTCTTTTTGTCCCCATCATAATATGAAATCTTATGACTTTTTGGTAACTCATATATACTCAACTTGGGGTTTGTATGTTATTAGATTAAAGTATTTTCCATTGTTACTGTGATATATTGAACTATTTCCCTGCTGAGTTGAATGAGATACCATCATTATAATGGTTCATTTTGTTTGTAAAGTTTTGCTTACCTTGGACTTTAAGGTTAATTATGTTACTCTTTCCGGTTCCTGCTGAATTTTCAGCTGAACACTGGTAGTTACCATCCTGTGATTTTGAGCTTATATTAAGATTCAGTGTTATGCCATCAATCATGACTCCTGGAGCATAAGAATTGAAAACAAAAGGGTGAAAAAGGTTAAATTAAATGTCAGTTTTAAATGGATCAAGTTTGATTAAGGAAAAGTTATCATAGGCAAAAGGAAACCAATTATTTCATTTTCAGCTAATCATCATGATAACCGTGACGATTATTATTATCATTTTTCTTAATATAATTATCACAATAAATATAATCTATGATATTTATTATATTGCCGATCAAAATATTAACCCTGAGGCTAGAAAATGGCTTCTCATAGTTAGATTGTATTCTATGGTTATTCTCTTTATTTTATCGAGATAAGTAATTGGCTGTATAATATCAATATTAGAACAATGAATAAAATGAAAATGTTCAGAATTATCTTTTCTTTGTTACTTTGCACATTGAGAGAGGAAGAAAAATGATATTAATACTATTAGGAATTGCAGGTCAGGATAAATAAGAAGATGAAAGACTATCACGACTATTACTAGATTCTTATCATGGTGACGAAATGAATATGAATCGAACTTGAATATCAACCAAAATCAATAATATGATTCTTGAATTTATACTTTTGGTGAGTAAGTATGAGAAATTGGAAAATGAGTAAAGTAAAAACCTACTAGAATCTGAATCATGTCTGTGGAAGAATGATGAAAATTCAATGTTTACAATTCGTTTTGAGAGGAGAATTCTGAATATCATTGAATCATCCATTTTTTTGCTGAACATATCTTGAAATCATAGGCAAAAGCTCAACAGATTTCAGATTTTCTATGATAAAAAACATGGAGTTTTTTTTCCACATGATTCGAGCTGAATTCAGTTGCAACCAAATATTATTCTGTTCTTCTCATGCTCATTGAATCATTCATATGATGAGGAACGAAAAAGAGCTTTAACTTTATATGATATGAGAACCATATGAATACACAAGATGAGGTATTCAGATTATGAAAGATATTCATTTGAAGTATGAGTTTCATATGAATTTCATAAAGATGATGATAAGCTGTCAAAAAGGTTTTCTGTTTACTTTTTACTCATCTCAGGTGATATCAAATGATAATATGTTATTATTATCATGACTTTATTCATGATTACACAGGGAAATAAATGAAAAGTTCTGCACAATAAATGACTCAACAATTGGAAAAAAGAAAGACTAAAAGTAAGCGAAAATTTAACAGTTATACAAAGAAGAAAAATCATATCTGACAAATAACATGAGGAAATGAAAATTCTTATTTTTTATCATTCTAATATCTCTCAGTAGAGTCGAGATGAAAAAAACTTTTCTTATAACAACACTATGAGAGACAGAAAAAAATATATAAAACAATTTTTCAATAGAATCTAAGCTAAATGTCAGGTAATATGACATTGAACGAGTCTCGTTTTGTTTTCCCACTCAGACATTATAAAAGTAATACGAATGAATAACATTCAAGACATGATGATATCAAATAAATTTAACAACGATAATAATAAGCATCATCATAATCATCATCATCTTGAAATGTTAAACTGTTAAACCTTACGAACTCAAGTAAATGAATATCAATATTGTAACCTCATGAATGCTCAGAGATTTTTTCACTAAATACCCAGGATTTTCTAGAGATAATCAAAAGAGGAAGAATTGAGTTGAAATGAGAGAATACTTATTGAATGATGGGTGAAGGATGGGAACTATGATACAAAATAGTTACATGATATATGAGGATTTATTCAGGTAGTGAGGAGTATGTGGGATGAAGTTAATCAACAGGGATTTTGATTAAGATATTTGAATGATTTCAGATCTAAATTTGAACTTATTAACATTTGGGTAGGTTGATTGATGAAGATGATAATGGTTTCTTGTAATACGTTTGGGTTATCATTTAGTGTGTGGGAGTTTTTTTTATCATGATGAAATTTGAGGGTTACTTTTTTTGTTATCTGGTGTATATATACTTAGGGGTGATTTAAATGTTAATCATCGTGTTTAACAGTTATCATTATCAGTATTATTTTTGTTTGAAGGTTATCTGCATGGTATTTTCATTACCATTCAGTTTGAAATAGTATAAACAATTTTGCAACTTGGAAAAAGTTTTCATGATAAATGTTACATTTTACTTAGAGAATTTAAGAAAGAGGGTTAAGTAAAAAGGTTTTCTTCACAGAACTTATTCAAAACGAGAAGATATTTGGGGTTAGAGGGTTGAAAGGTTGGGACTTAAACCATTTCTCAAGTAAATTAAACTCTTGATAAATTACCTTTGGAATCACATCTGATTTCATGTGAGAAAACTTTATTGGATTGATGCAACTTAGATCACTTTTGTGTGTTCGGTATCTCGTAATTCTTCAAGTAATCTATTGCTGAACTTTCTTCAAATTTCAATTCTTTTTGATTGTTCTCTAAGTTTCGACTTTTTTTACTCTTTTCACAATTATTTTTTGTCTCATTTCAAACCCATTCAAAGAAATAGAGAAAGAGAGAGAGAGAAAGAGAGAGAGAGAGTAAAATATTGATGAGAAAAGGTTTAGTTTAAAAAGACTCAGTTCATTATTCATGTACCAAAAATCTTTCGATTCTCATTGGAACTTTTTCTTCGACTCTTTTCCTTTCATCTCTTTCTTTATTCTTTTTATTGAACTATTCATTCATTCGTGTTTGATTTGAAATTATTGGTTCTAAAATAGATTCAACTGATGAAGCTATCAGAGTGGGTGCTGGATGGGGTGAGCAGATAAATAGAGTATGATTATAAGATGACGCTGATTATCAGTAAAAGGAAACAACCATTCAATTAAAATTAACCGAGTTAAATTTTGTTTCCCTTTTATTTTCGCTTATCGATTCATTTGGTTCGTACTCTTCCTGTAAATTTCCTATGGAAATCTTATCATCATGTTTATTTGCATCTTTATCGAACTAAAATCAAAAAGTATGAGGGTAAGAAGAAAAGAACATCTATCATTTCTAGAAACTGTTGATATGGAACTTTTTTACTTCTTTTATTTTTTCTTTCCAGTTCTGTGAGAGTCTTCATCAATAATTTCGTAGCTTTGACATCTTCATCTTTGGAAAACACTAAACATCAACTTATCATCTTATTTGAATTTCACCTTTATCATTTTTCCTCTTCTTGTTTCCCGATTGCTTTTTTTTCTTATTTCATTTCTAATTTTCTTCTTCAATCTTATTATTATCATGATTATTATTTGTTCAATCATGATTCTCGTCACAGAACATAAGAAAGAAAATAGGAGACAAATGATGATAGAGAGAGCAGGGAAAGTAATTCAAAGTGAGAAAGCTCATTTTTTTCTTTCTCTTCTTTTCATCAAACATCTTCATCCAATTTCATCTTCTTTTGTCTTTGTTTACAATCTTCTGATCTTCATCTCTCTCTCTCTCTTACTTACTTATATTTTCATCATTATTATCATGATAGTCACTTGTCAGAACAGTTTTTAAGCCGTAACAAACACAAGAACTGATCTTTACTCATTTGAACACGAAAAAAGTTGACAGAATGGCAAAAATAATGTGAAATGAATCAACTCATTTGCTGTAAGTTGATAACCTTTTCATCTGAGTTTTTCTCGCCACTTCCTCCTCTCTTATAGAGAGAGAGAGAGAGAGAGAGAGAGAGAGAGAGAGAGAGAGAGAGAGAGAGAGAGAGAGAGTCCACTCTTACTGATTCACACACTTGAAACTCATTCAAGTGAGTTGGTAATCAAGCAGAGTCAGCATTTAACACACTACGATGTAGTTAAGTTGTGAAACAATCAGCAAATCAATGACAATAAATTGATGAGACTAACAGCAAAAATCATAACTTTGTCAATATATAAAATGTACCAATATAATAAATAGAAACCAATCATTATTTACCTTTGGTTTCATATGTATGGTCACTCGAATCGTTCAAGTTAGTTGAGTGATAACCAGAGGTTTACTTTTATATTTATATTAGTAAACGAAAGACTCATAAATGGACACTGAAAAAAAATCAGTAAACCAAAGTTCAGGAAACTTTAAAAAACTTTAATGAAAACTCAAACTTTTCATAAAATGATTGAGTTTGAATATTTACCTTTCTCACATTTTATACAACCTTTTATTTCCTGAAAACAAAAAGTTCAAAGCTTAGGGTGGACGAAAAAGTTAGATGCGAATACATATCAATATAAATGCTTTTTCCTACTTTAAGTTATCAATTTCAACTTGCACTCTACTCCTCCCACCTTCATCTTCATCTTCTTTTTCTCCTCTCTTCGAGTTTCCTTCCTCTGTTTTTTTCTCACCACCAAAGTAATAAATCTCACGGTCTCTTCACATATTCTGATAGTGGAAAGTTTGAATTCAGGAAAGAGAGGTTAGGAAACGAGAAAGACAAAGAACCGAGTAAAAGTCGGTGGGGCTGGATTGATGGTGATATTTTGAGAAGGGTGGAAAAGATAAATCCATTTATTGGTTAAACATACAAATAGCAAATGTGGTTGCAAAGAGTAAATAATGAAAATAAAAAAGGAACCTGAGCTTATGTTCCCTGTCAAATGTTTGAATTACTTTTCAGACTTTGGGAAAGTTCATATTTCAGCTCCTATGAGATGATGATGAAATTGTCGATTCTCAATCTCTATTTGTTAAATACTAACCAATTTTTTCATTCTGTATCTTATGTTTAAAAATGAAGTTTCTCGGAAACAAATTATCTCACAAAACTTTCCCAATTTTTTTGTTATATTATGCATTCAAACATTAGCATCGCAATAGAATTGGATGAATATTCAGTCATTTATCTCTCTCGCAGCAACCACTATCCTGAAAATTTATGTGAAACATTACAAACTGACAGAGTGAGATTGTATTCTCTGCTCTCGAGAAAAAAGTTGATGTTATTTTTTCTCACTCATGCAAAAATGTAAATTTTGATTCTTAAGTATTTCATTTCAACATATTTTTCAGTTCTCTGCTTATAACAGGAATAATATTTAGTTTCAAATTTGATA